CTCTTATGAAACTGATTATTATAAAACCACCTGTACCCGAGGCAGGCGTGTGGCATCCATACAGAAACTTTATACATTTCAGTTATATTTATAATAAAAATATATAGCAGTGTCTCTTCACTTGGCCTGGTTCAGTTTAGAAGTCATTTACAGAAAGGTCTGAGGTTTCTCTGCTACAGATTTCCAGGCGTGAGTTTATTGAAAACGACAACAAAGATGATTTACTTCAGGAGCACATGTGCTCCTAAATGGAAAAATTTAGGAGCACAGCAAAAAATGTTCAAGTAACACAGAATTTAACATACTATTTATTATATTTATTCTACATGTGTGCTCCTTCTCCTTGTGTGAAACCAGTAGAGGACAGGAAGTGAAGACCCTGGTATCTGGACGCATCAACCTTAAAAATTTGTCGACGCTTTTTAAAAATATTGAAACAGATCTTTTGAAAATTTGAGACATTGAAAACAGCTTTTACAACTCTGACCAGTCTTCACAAAAAACTTTACTGTGATTGGTGCCTGTGTAGTTTCTGAACCAGTGACTGATTCACGATCCACCAGCAGCAGCCAAACAACCCACACCTGATGGAAACAAGACTAGTGAGCAGCGTTACAGTAACTTTAGTACATCAGAACCAGGGGAACGTGTTGCTCTCTAGAAGGACATACTGGCTTACTGTGCAGTGGAAATCTGCATCTTTCCACTCTTTCAGAAACTAGTTTAAATGAGTGTATTTGTATTTATAAAATTTTAATATTAGATAAAAAGTTCAATTTTAATCTAATAGTATACTGTTAGAGTGTTAATTATATAATTTTGTGACTTTATGGAGTAGTACTACTATACTATACAGCTCACTAGTGTAATTAATTCCAGTTGAACAAAACAGGAGTTTGTTAATGCTGCTATCTCATCAACAGTCAGAACCATTCATGCAGTTCAACATTTGAAAGTTTACTGAAGCGCGTCAAACCTTTTTTATGTCCCGCCCCATCCAGGCTGTGATTGGTCAGTTGACCTGAAGTGAAATTAACGAGCACATCGATTTTATGAAAAGCTGAACACGTTTCAACAAAAGGCACCTGATGTACCTTATAGCCAGCAGCCAAACCGACAACCTCCTTATCTTCTCCCTGCTGTCTTCTGTCTCGCCGCTCCAGCCGCTGACTTCGCTTCTCTGTCTTTGTTTTTTAAACAAGCTGCTCAAGCGGGAACTGAGCGACCCCGCCCACTCTCTCGGTGCTCCAGTGACTGCTGGCTTTTTTCCCCGCCAGAGTTTCAACAACTGTCATATGACTGATATCAGCTTTGCGACGGGCCCTGCCCGCTACTCGGGGCGGGGCTGTTTTGAACGATTAAAGCCCCGGGTATACTTACTGGCGAGGACCAGCGTAGCGTTAATTCCTGGGGACGTGCTCAACCTACCCTGCTGGCTGCTAGAGAGGACGCAGGTTTAAGGCGCCCCCTGCTGGCTGCTAGAGAGGACGCAGGTTTAAGTCACCCCCTGCTGGCTGCTAGAGAGGACGCAGGTTTAAGTCGCCCCCTGCTGGCTGCTGGAGAGGACGCAGGTTTAAGGCGCCCCCTGCTGGCTGCTAGAGAGGACGCAGGTTTAAGGCGCCCCCTGCTGGCTGCTGGAGAGGACGCAGGTTTAAGGCGCCCCCTGCTGGCTGCTGGAGAGGACGCAGGTTTAAGGCGCCCCCTGCTGGCTGCTGGAGAGGACGCAGGTTTAAGGCGCCCCCTGCTGGCTGCTAGAGAGGACGCAGGTTTAAGGCGCCCCCTGCTGGCTGCTGGAGAGGACGCAGGTTTAAGGCGCCCCCTGCTGGCTGCTAGAGAGGACGCAGGTTTAAGGCGCCCCTGCTGGCTGCTGGAGAGGACGCAGGTTTAAGTTGCCCCCTGCTGGCTGCTGGAGAGGACGCAGGTTTAAGTCGCCCCCTGCTGGCTGCTAGAGAGGACGCAGGTTTAAGTCGCCCCCTGCTGGCTGCTAGAGAGGACGCAGGTTTAAGTCGCCCCCTGCTGGCTGCTAGAGAGGACGCAGGTTTAAGGCGCCCCCTGCTGGCTGCTGGAGAGGACGCAGGTTTAAGGCGCCCCCTGCTGGCTGCTGGAGAGGACGCAGGTTTAAGGCGCCCCCTGCTGGCCGCTGGAGAGGACGCAGGTTTAAGTTGCCCCCTGCTGGCTGCTAGAGAGGACGCAGGTTTAAGTCGCCCCCTGCTGGCTGCTAGAGAGGACGCAGGTTTAAGGCGCCCCCTGCTGGCTGCTAGAGAGGACGCAGGTTTAAGGCGCCCCCTGCTGGCTGCTAGAGAGGACGCAGGTTTAAGGCGCCCCCTGCTGGCTGCTAGAGAGGACGCAGGTTTAAGGCGCCCCCTGCTGGCTGCTAGAGAGGACGCAGGTTTAAGGCGCCCCCTGCTGGCTGCTAGAGAGGACGCAGGTTTAAGTCGCCCCCTGCTGGCTGCTGGAGAGGACGCAGGTTTAAGGCGTCACCTTTCAGACCTGGAGGTTTCCGCTTGGGTCGCTTGTTGTAGTGAAAGTTGTGATGTTGCTGGTGTGACGACTCTGTCTAAGGTGCATCACTTCAACCTGTTAACATGTGACGCGCACGCTCTGCTCAGGCTTGGGCCAAGATGTTTCCGGTTAAGTTCAAAATAAAGTTGTCATGTGGCAGAAGGTGGTTTTTTTGGTCCACCTGCAGGATTCAGTCAGAAACCAAAGCAGAACCTGATCCGCCACCAGCTCTTATTTCCTGCTGTCCAGTGTGGAAGTTGACCACTTCTTCTCTTTCTGCAGGTCTGCTGGCGTCCCCTCACTCGGCTCCAGGAAACCTCGACAACAATAAGAACGGCGAGAGTCGCATCAACGGCGGCAGCCGGGAAAACAGCACCGTGGACTTCAGCAAGGTAAAGACCCCCCCCCCCCCCCCCCTGCTACTGGCTCATGTCTTCTGTTACAGGAAGTGTTCACCACAGGTCCAGGGAGGCTGGGTATCAGATCCATGAGTTCAGGTGTTGATATGAAGCTCTGGATCATACTGGACCAGGATCATTTCTCCGTCGCCACCATCACAATCTATCAGATAGTGTCACCATACTGGAATTTCTAACTTTGATAAAATACCTTGAAAAATTGACACAACATTGATTAGACTGACGAATTAAATTACGAAATGATCTAATGAACTTAGATATTCGCTCTCTTGTGTCCTTTGCCAGCATCTAATTGCACTAGCCAATCACAGCACAGTAGGGCAGGACTGAAAAATAAGCCGAAGCAAATAAGACTAGAAGACAGCTCTGTGAGTGAGAGGAGGCGGGTCTATGTGAGCGCATTTCCGTATCGATACTGCGGAAAATGAGTTTTAAAATATTCAGAATCAATATGTATTCAAACAAAATCAATATTTTTTACAACACTGCTAGCAGGACTTGCACTTTCTTACTTGGCCAAAGCGGAGGGCAAGTATTTTAATAATTGATTAATTGTTTAAATCACCTTTCAAGCCAAAATGATGTTTGATGGTTCCAGCTTCTCAAATGTGGGGTGTTTTACAGAATGGCTGTATGTAGACAGGGTTGGGAGGGTTACTTTAAAAATGTAATCTGGTACAATTGCTTGTTAAAAATTGTAATCAGTAACGTAATCCAAGTACCAGAAAATAAAAGTAATGTAACCTGATTACTTTTAGTTACTTTTGGATTACTGCAATGCCAAATGGGCAAATAAAGAGTATCAAAGATGTGTTGTCTGCTCAGGGGATTTTTAGAGGTGCATACATATTAGGCTATAAAATATCCCATGAAATCAAAATGTTTGGTTGTATTCTTTATGATTTAGTGTGTCATTTCCCAGAAAAGGGTTTTAAAATGTTGATGAATCCTCCTGCTCTGGGGGGCCTGGATTAATTTAGTGACCAATGAAAAGCTTTCTTTGTTTTTATGATGTGTTTCTGGAGCCGGGCCCCACTGATTACTGAAGGAAAACTCTACTCACTGATTTTGCAGAAACTGGATCCTATTTGATGGAAAATATTATCTGGTTTTCTCTCTGATGTTCCCGGCTGCTCTGCCTCAGCTCTGTGATGTACGAGTTCCCTTTTAAGCTTTACTTAACTTAATTTAGTAGGAGTGGTGATGGCGCATAGATAAGATGCTTGCCTTTGGTGTGGGTTCGATTCCCACTGTGAGACCGTCCACCATTGTGTCCCTGAGCAAGACATTTAACCCCTCGTTGCTCCAGAGGTGTGTGACCTCTGACATGTGTAGCAATTGTAAGTCGCTTTTGAGAAAAGCGTCAGCTAAATGAATAAATGTAAATGTACTTGTTGCTGTAGCAAGTCAGCTAACTGCTGCTAACTAGCAACTAAACTGCGCCCAGCGGCCTCGAAGTGAACCCGACATGAACAGGTCCAAACACAGCCTCGTTAGCTGACCGGGGTGACAAGAGCCAGTGGTCAAACTGTGATGAGTCTGCATGATGGGTAGGGGGCGTGGCGACAGATCGCCACTGTGTTTTTTCCGGAAACATGTAAACCGTAAATAGCACTGCATTTTCTGTTGGAAACTTTCTGCTTAAAGTAATCGGTTTATTTTCTCTACTGTAACGGAATACAGTGACTTTATTTTTGTATCCTGGTTACGTAACGCCGTAACGCCCTGTATGTAGACGGGTACCCCGTCCTCTCCAGTGTTTCCTGTCAGGCTTGGGCTTTTGGAGGATGGAAGTACACTTTCTTTTTTAATTCTTCTTCTCCATTTTTCTCTGCAGTGAAATTTGTAGCGTCCACTTCCTGTCAGAACGCCGTTGGACGCGTGTGTTGGTTGAACTACACGGCTGTGGTTCAAGCAGCTGCTTCCTCCATTTGGAAAATGTAAATTAGATGCTGAAAGGACAAACACAAAGTGGAAACTCAAATGTAAAATAGAAATAAAGAACGTGTCTAACTGTTTCGTGTGCACAGCCGATCAGTATGTTTATTTATTCATTTAGAATTGAAACAAAAGGGTCACTCACATTGGTCACAGAGAGCCAATAAACAAGCTGCGTTCAGTCACATGACTTTGAGTCTTGGTAGTTTTGTCAGTGTGACCCTGCAGCAGCCAATCAGAAGCTGTGTGTGTTTCTCAGCAGGACTGCAACTGTGTTTGTTTGCCGCCGGCCGCCGGCAGAAAGCCCGCTGTAAGTCTGCCACCCGCCGGCTGTCGACCAATCAGTGGCCTGTGTTGTGGCTCATCGTGGTGGAGCGCCGTGTTGATGTGCGTTTGGATTCTGTTGTCGTTTGTGTCGTTCAGTGAAGTCGGCGTGACTCTGACTCTGCTCAGCTGTGCTGTTTCAGTGTTTTGGTGGACGCCTGCTGTTGCTTCATGATGTCACTATTGATTGAGATTAATCGATGAAGATCAGTAGTTGCAGCCCTAAAATAAAACGATCATGTGTGAGATGGTGCTGTAGGTTTCTCTCCTGTCTGTATCGGATCAGAGGAAAGTGAGACTCGACCTGCTGCCTGGTTTGTTTCAGGTGGACATGAACTTCATGAAGAAGATCCCTCCTGGCGCAGAGGCGTCCAACGTCCTGGTGGGTGAAGTGGACTTCCTGGAGCGGCCGATCGTCGCCTTCGTCCGGCTGTCCCCCGCCATGCTGCTGACCGGCCTCACAGAGGTCCCGGTGCCCACCAGGTGAGCAACACGCACTGTTGTTGTAGCAGCTGCTACAAGTACCTCCAAATTATACTTGAGTATTTTCTGCTACTTTCTATTCTGCTTCACTCAGAGGGAAATATTTAAGCCGTTAAACTCGACGTTATTGTCTCGTCCGTCCAGGTTTGTCTTCCTGCTGCTCGGCCCGTTTGGAAAAGGCCCGCAGTACCACGAGATCGGACGCTCCATGGCCACTCTGATGACGGACGAGGTGAGACGACAAGGCCGTTTAGTTTCTGGTCAACAAACAGTAAAAATAAAGTCTCCTGAGAGAAATCCTCACACAGAGAGCTGAAGTTTTAATACGCCGACGTCACGGTTTTCTCCTCTATCGTGACCAGAAAGAGGAAATTTAACATTTTAGATTAATTTAAGACTCTTCACCCTTTTTTTTCCTCTGCTGTCAGGAAGGTAATCTTTACTCTGTAGAGGCGTGGTGCCCCCTGCTGGAGGACTCGGATCTTGTTAGCTCTGGACCAGAGTGTTGCAGGAACAGGCAACATGTCCACCTTTCCCATCAGTCCATCACGCGAGGTGTCGCACAGACATCTGGGCCCTGTACCTGAGCATTCTCTGCAGATAGATGTCTGTGTTGACGTGGAAGTTAAATTTTGTCTGAAATTAATTATTACACAGGCGTTTGAACAGGAACCTCCAGTCTGTGAGTGAAAGTACTGTTAAAGTTAATAAAAACAACTTGTTACGCATGATTTCTGGCCCTGCAGTCAGAGGACCTGCAGATGAACTCAGCGTCTGTTTTCAGGGCTTATGGAGTCGGACTGCTTATGTTTTAAATAGGGCCGGGCATTAGTTCAATAACGCCAGCAATTATTTTATCGCACGTCAACGTTTATTATTATTTTGACAGTCCGTTGCTCGCTGGCTCTGAATCCAGTAAAACCATGAGTCACAGGAGGGGGGGGGGGGTTTATCAGCCTGCAAACCAGCAGCGGAGGGAGGCTTCGGAAGACTACGCTGCGGCAGCATGTGGGAGAAGCGGATAAAGAAAAGCAAGACGAGCGGTCAAACGCCACAGCGAAGAGGAGAGCTGCATGCTGGGTAGTGTCGGGAAGATGTGGTCTGAGGAACGTTCTTAAAGTCTCAGCGTAGTCTCTTGGCCCCGCGGGGTCGCTCGACAGGGAGACGAGCGCGCCGCGAGTAAACGGCAGGCGCACGGTTGAGAGTAACCATGGCAACAGCTTATGTGCGCTACACTGTGATGCGTTTAACTTGAGTTAAAAAGTGCATGATGTCACTCAAGTTGGCTACATGAGCCGCTACTAGCAAAACTTACGCTGCGTGAGATTGGAAGCGCCCCCTTACGGTCTGTACCCGCGCTCTCAATCGCCGCACACAAACACATGATTCGACTAGCGGTCGACTACAGGCAGGACTTGGCGATTCTGAATGGACTGTGTAAATCCTTGTATTTAGTTAATTACTTTGCTGAGCTGCTTGATTACTTCCTGTTACGAGATCCAGATTAGTTGATGAACAGACTTCGTCTCTCTGTCCGCTAGATTTTCCACGATGTTGCCTACAAGGCGAGGGACAGGATCGACCTGCTGTCGGGGATCGATGAGTTCCTGGATCAGGTGACCGTGCTTCCGCCGGGCGAATGGGACCCCAGCATCCGCATCGAACCCCCGAAGAACGTCCCGTCTCAGGTGAGGTCTGCCTCAGAGATTGCGATGGTCGTGAAATAAAACTTCAGCGCCGTCCTGTCTGACCTGAACTCTGCTCTGTGCCTTCGTCTCTTGCAGGAGAAGAGGAAGATGCCGTCTGTCCTTAATGGCTCCGCCCACATCTCTGACACCATCAAGGAAGAGGAGCATCACACGGGACCAGAGCTGCAGAGGACGGGGAGGTCAGTCTGCCTCGCTGTACAGGACTCTGAAAAGATCACTTGTACCTGCACGTGTGAGACACGCAGGCAGTGCGTAAAAGAAAAGACCAGTGGTTCTCAAAGGGAGGTCCGGGGACCGCCAGGGGTCCGTGTGTAGATGTGTAATGATGTGGCTTGCAGCTGCGTCATCACAGCTTCATGCACGGCGTGCTGTCCTTTCTTTGGAGCTCTGAATGTCATTTTGCAGAAACCAACAGAGTGCGCCTAAAAATCTGTTGAGGCCATAGGCGGAAATCACGTGACCGCCATCTTTACATCATACACACAGCGTTTCATGTCATTGATGTCATTCATACTGCGGTGGCTCCGTCGGTAATTAATAACAAGCTGCCGCCACACGGCACGCACCTGCCTTTATTTAGGACAGGTGTCCACATGGGACAGGCCTTTAATTCTTTTTGCACAAAACTGAAACTACTATGAAACAGTTTATTTATTTCAAACAGAATAATACTTAATTATAGAATAATACTAATCAAATTAATATCAAATTCAACGTTTAAACATTAATATTTGTAGCCTGTTAACAATCTAAGCAGCATAGAAGCGGCTAAAGCGGCGACCCCGTGGCATTTAAGAGGTTTTATACATCCAAAGAACTTCTATAAAAACCACACCAGGCATTTATTTGTCAAAATGTGTTCCCACACCAGGCCAGTAAAGGAGGCAGTAAGTTTAGTACGTAAGTTTTACGGTACGTATATAGTCATAAAAAAACATAAAATGTTTGTGCATGCTGTCAGTTATAATTGTTAAAAAGAAAGAATCGGCAGGTCAGACCTCTAAATAATCTGTAATTGGAATCAGCCAGGAAAAATGCAATCTGTGCATCTCTTACTACCACCAACACGCCGATAAGCCTGTGTGTGAACTGATCTTGGGCTGATGTTGTAGATCTGCCGTAGTGTTTTGCTCAGTATGATAAGTGGCAGATCAGCCGATGGTGAACCTAAGTCATATTTAAAGGGCTGTTGCCGTGTGTTGTTGGCCAGATAAAAAGGCAGAGAAAAGAGTAAGTCATTGCCACCATTTTACAGCCACTTGTATGGCCGCCAGTAAACCTGGCTATAAAGCACGGAGCGCTTCCTGCGATGCTACCAAGCTGGTCGATCTTTACAGTTTGTCAGCACTTTTTAAGTTTCGTTTTACAATAATATATATATGTGTAAACATTTTTGAGTTTGTGCCGTGATTCAAATAACGACTGTTTACAATCAGTCACAGATTATCAGTGTGTTTTGCGAAAAGACAGAAGGTTAGAATTTACTGTCATGGTGCTAAAGCTGCTGGGAAAATGTGGGGCGCCTAAACATCACTGATGAGCGAAATGTGTCCGTGACTTGACTCCGTCTGTCCGTCAGGATCTTCGGTGGTTTGGTGAACGACGTCCGGAGGAAGGCGCCCTTCCTGTGGAGTGACATCAGGGACGCGGTCAGCCTGCAGTGTTTGGCGTCCGTCCTCTTCCTCTACTGCGCCTGCATGTCGCCCGTCATCACGTTCGGAGGGCTGCTGGGAGAAGCCACCAAAGGAAACATAGTAAGAACTCGACTGACGGGACGATGAACTGATGTCACGTTTCCTCTTAAAGGGGCGGTACAACATTATGACCTCTCTCGCTCTCTCTCACTGTCCCGGTAGAGTGCCATAGAGTCTCTGTTCGGGGCGTCCATGACGGGCGTGGCCTACTCCCTGTTTGCTGGTCAGCCTCTCACCATCCTGGGCAGCACCGGTCCAGTTCTGGTCTTTGAGAAGATCCTCTTCAAGTTCTGCAGGTGAGTCTGCGGGAACACCTGTTTTCTGTACCTGCACACGCAGAACTTTTCTTCTTCTTCTCGCGCCCATTAATGATCAGTCATCTGCTGATCCTTTGGAGGAGCGCAACGAATACTTTTACTGCACAACGAATACTTTTACTGCTGATACTTTAACTCCATGAAGCTGGTAATACTCCTGCTGCTGAATGCAGGACTTCTTCTTGTAATAGTGTTTTTAGGTTGTTGTATTTTAATATAAGTGAGGAATCTGAATACTTGTGCTTGAGCTCCGACTCCCCCTGCAGGTGGGAATTAAACATGGCGCCTCAGTGACTTCATTAATGACCCAGAAAATTAGATGGTATGTTTTAAAATCTAGGTAAGTAGGAGCTCAAACCGAGCAGCGAAGCTTTGTTGTTCTTCATGGAGCCAAAGGGGTCACGGATTATCCTGATTTGTGGGTTTTTGGATCAGAATGTAATTGGCTTTAGAGGGATTGTGCATTTGTTTTCTCTTGTTTCTTTGTTTTGTGAGTATTAAAAAGGCTTTTTGTGATGGAAAAATGTTTTGTAACACTTACATAAAGCCCTTATTTTATTTAACCTGCTCCATTTCCCACCAGATTACATCATACTGCTTTTATTTCTGCATTTCTGAAACTCAAAATATTTCCAGGAAAATACATCGGTCAGGGACGTAGCACAAAATCCTGGGCCCTAGATATTAGAGCCCGACCGATATAGGATTATTACGTCTGATGCTGATTTCAATAGTTGAGGATTATAAAATCTGGATGATATTCTTTTTAAGAAACATTATCCCAAATATTTATGTTGAGACCTCACCGAGATACCCTGACATAATGTAGCGGTTATAAATAGTATTTTGAACAAAAGTACAACTAAATATATCAAGGTTTTGATAAATAAGAGTCAGATGTACAAAACATTTTACAAATATCTGATTTGTTATAAATTAGGGAGTACTTCTGCTAATGAACATTAAATTAAAGAGTTTCATATATAAATATAAATTACCTGTGTAGGAGAGTACTAGCAGTAGTGGTATATGGGTAATTTTTATAGTTTGTTTTCCTGGCCCCCACAATACATACACTATTTACTTAGTAGTAGTACTCCATAATTTATTGCAAATCAGATATTTACATTTTTATTTTTTTCTGTAGTTTTATTTGCCTCTTGTCCATCAAAACCTTGATATATTTTGTTTTACTTTTGTTCAAAGTTCTATTTATAACAAAGTTTCTTTTTATACTGCATTATGTCATGGTATCTTGGTCTCAACATAACATTTTAGGGAATATCTCTGTTTATGTCATGCGCTTCTTAAAACAAGGGGGGGGAAACAATATTGCCCGATCTTGAAAATCCCATATCAGTAAGGCTCTAATTTAAACCCACTGTCTCCTCACTATAAATGAGGTTTGCTCTTGAGTACAATGCTTAAAATAACATTATTTTCTTCATGTTTCTTTAAGCATTTAGTTGTTCCCAAGGTGTGAGACAACGTTGGAAAAATAGTTATACAAAGTTTAGTCTCTGACCTGATTCATTCCGCAATTTTTTTGTTTTTAGTTATGAAACTACTTGCTTAGAAGTGAAACATTAAAAATAAAAAGAACTTTTCATTCCAGGATTTTTAAGTTTTTCGAATTTTCCGTTTTAATAACTGAAAGAGCTGCAACAAGCTGTTTCTTTTATTCAAACTTTAAAGCTCAGGTAGGTGAAGTTTTATCAGTCAAACTTTATTAGAGAGGAACTCCGGTTCGGTCAGCGGAGACGTAACCTGAACATGGTTTTACAACAGAGATAAAACGTCCTCTCAGATGTTGACTAAAGGTTCGACAGTGTTCCTCCTCACATGGGGAACAGCAGGAAGCCGCTGAAGGTGCTGTGGTTGCTGTTGTCCCAGATCTGAGTGCCGTGCCACAGCTGCATGGACAGCGTGTCGCCCTCCTCCAGCAGCAGGGCGGCGCCGTTGGACGCCGTGTCGCTGCCCTCGCCGGACGGCTGCTCGTGGGCGATCAGCTGGATCTGAGCGTTGTTTTTGTAGAGCACGGCGCTCATGGGGAAGTTGGTGGGGGCGTTGGCTGTGAAGCGGATGTAGTAGACTCCACGCACAGGTGCTCTGAACACACCTGGAGAGGGAAGGGTTAATTAACAGGGACGTATGGCAGGTGAGAAGGGACAAAATAACTCAATTGCAAGAAAAGTTTGAATTCTTATTTTTAACTGGAATTTCCAAATTATAAAATCTGTTTGGTTCCGCAGAGCAAACTTTAAACACCAACATCTGATCTATTCTCCAGTTCTCCTGGCTAACGCTTTACCGCTGTTTGCAAAAACGCCGGCACGCTGTGTAAAATATAAACAAAAGTGTTTAATTTTTTATTTTATTGAAGTTTGCTAAAGTTCAGTATTCACTGCCAGTTTATGAACCACGCAGGCTTGGAGAATCCGGTTGATTTTCAAAATAAAACTCTCTTTGGAGACTCCCTATTGCACATCAACAATAAACACAGTTAAAACAGAAGAAACAATTTAACTGCGTAGCTACTGAACCATCGTAGAAGCTCAAGAATCAGAACAACTGAACAAATAAACAAATCTGAACAAGTCACAAAAACAGGCAGGCAAAACGCTCTTATTCTGAAATGCTCCATGTGGATATGTCACGTTAGCCTGCAGAGAGTGGAGCGGGCTCGCAGAGCGCTTATCCGTAGTTGAATCACACAAAATGACAAATTAACGAGTTAACAACGTGTAGGCTAAACGCTCCGCTGCTGAAACACTTCATTGGGAGTTGACGGCGCTCAGCCGCTACCTGTGATTGTTCGACGCCATCATCCCACGTTTTCTTCTAGTTTCGTTGTTTTAAAATGGAGACGCCCTGTGCCCGCTCTGATTGGTGAGTAGGACCGTAACAGGAGGCGCATGGCGTTTCGATTGACGAATAATTAATCCATAATCCCCGTCTCTCCACAATTAACTAATCACGTTTTTTCAATCGCAATTTCGATTTGAAAACGATTAATCGTTCAGGTCTAGTTCCAACTTTACGCAGCTGGAGAAAAGCAACTGCGGCCGCCAGACTTGGCGCCTGCTGTGGCGTTGCTCCCGCTAGATTTTAATGTCATGTGACGTGGCAACGTTTTGCAGCGCCACCGAAAGTCGGACACAACTTTCAAGCAGCAGGTCTTATTATAAGTCCAGCATGCATCACTTTAAGTCAGCGCTGCATGAACTCAAACGCACCTTTTATTATTTAAGTCAGGTTCAGGGAAGCTGCAGAGCGCCCTCTGGTGGGAAAACTATGCAACACTCATGACATGAGTTTCTGTTTTTTATTCATCATTAATCGGCTGTCATAAACGCAGACGCCGATTTATCTTAGCTCATATATTTGACAAATCTGTCAGTAGATTCAATCTTTTGTACATCGTCCCATTTTGGTTTCAATTTACATTTTACACAGCGTGAAAATTTTTGGAAATGGAGGTTGGAGCCTACAGATAAATATTTACAGTCCAGCAGTTACAGAGCAACACGATCAGTCATGTTTGTGTCCACCTGACGAATCAAAGTCAGTATTAACTCAGTAATCTGTTGTGAGAGTTTCTGACCTGTCTCAGCGTTGTACGCCTGTCCGATGTTGGTCAGCACGTCTTTGTAGAGGAGCGTTTTACTTCCTGACGTCGTCTTCTGAAGGCCGTCACCTCCGAGAGAAGCTGAGAATGCCACCTTCTTTACGTCTGAAGACCAACAAAAACCAGTGGCGATAAATGAAAACAAGGTTCTTTTTCAAGATGATGGAATTTCTGAAATGTTTTTGAAACCTTTGTAACATCTGTACTTAAAGTGAAGAACCATTTCAGCTCCAGTAAAACATACTTTATTCACCTTTTAAGCTGATGACACACAGGGAAACTTTTTGAGCGATGTTGCTGGTGCAAAATCTGACTATGTTTTCAACGGATAGCGGATGGACGGGAGGATGGTGGAGAGGTGGAAGAAGGAAATTAAGGTAGTAATCTTTACTCAATACCAGTGACGGCACTGTTGCTCTAAAGGTTGCTCTGTGTATCATCAGCTTTACTCTGACTTTAAAGTTAAATGTGGTCACTTTATACTACAGAATCAGCCCAGTAACTATGCCGATGTCCCTCAGTTTCAAGTATATTAACACCTGGACAAATTAAACCGAAACTATCTGCGCGAAGACAAAGAGATGCGTTTATAGCGTGTGGGTTTCTTGTTTTTGGGTATATGTTTTACTAATTTCTGGAGTTGATTGAAGCAGGACTGGGTTTATTGGGCCAATAAATATAAAAATACAAAGACTAATTTTAGATTTAATGATGTTATTTCTGTAAGAACTGATGATAATGTCCACATGATGACGCTCCTCCTCCACAGGTGCCAGAAAAGGACGAGAGTGTTTGTTTTAGTGCAGCCCTCCTCCGCCCATCAAAATGTATCGCTGCTATTAATCCGTATCTTAAAGAGTGACTGACCTCTGATGCCTGCAGCTCCCTCTCTGTGGACTCCAGTCTCTCTT